TTCCCACTTTTACTAGTAATGGCGGCGATCAGCGACTTATAGTGGGACTGCGGCGGGCATTCTGACACAGGGGGGAACTGACTTGGTGTCACTGACATCCCCAGTAACACCAATACAGTGATCAGGGCAGAAAGGGGTTAACATGAGGGGCAATCAAGGAGTTAACTGTGTGCAGGGAGTGTTTTACTAGGGGGCGGGGGTGTGTGCTTCACTGTAATCACACTGCTGTGGATGGCTGTGCTGTGCACAGTGATGGGGCACTATTCCTCCCGATGACGCCAATAATGGGGCACTATTCCTCCCGATGACGCCAATAATGGGGCACTATTCCTCCCGATGACGCCAACAATGGGGCACTATTCCTCCCGATGACGCCAACAATGGGGCACTATTCCTCCCGATGACGCCAACAATGGGGCACTATTCCTCCCGATGACGCCAACAATGGGGCACTATTCCTCCCCATGACGCCAACAATGGGGCACTATTCCTCCCCATGACGCCAACAATGGGGCACTATTCCTCCCCATGACGCCAACAATGGGGCACTATTCCTCCCGATGACGCCAACAATGGGGCACTATTCCTCCCGATGACGCCAACAATGGGGCATTATTCCTCCCGATGACGCCAACAATGGGGCACTATTCCTCCCAATGACGGCAATAATGGGGCACTATTCCTCCCAATGACGCCAACAATGGGGCACTATTCCTCCCAATGACACCAATAATGGGGCACTATTCCTCCCAATGACACCAATAATGGGGCACTATTCCTCCCAATGACACCAATAATGGGGCACTATTCCTCCCAATGACACCAATAATGGGGCACTATTCCTCCCAATGATGGAGTATTATTCCTCCCCCTAATGCCAAACATGGCGATGTTTACTCCCACTAATACCAGGTAGTGAAACTTTCCACTATTGCTGGCCACAGTCCAGCCCCCCTAAAGTTTGAAATAAACTGGCCCTTTATTTAGAACAGGGGTCTCCAAACTATGGCCCTTCAGGTGGTGAAGAACTGCAAGTCCCATGAGACCTTGCAAGACTCTGACAGCCACAGGCAAGACTCCCAGAGGCAGTGGCATGATGGGACTTGTAGTACTTCAACAGCTGGAGGGCCATAGTTTGGAGACCCCTGATTTAGAACATTTGGAGACCCCTAGACTAGACTAAACAAGCAATTAACTCTTGCAATACAAGTGCAGCCCCAATGAAAGGGAGAGTTTTCATGTTTCCCGGACTTGGCCTTTATACAACAGTAGCTGCTTAGTGAATGCCCTGCCGCAGGTCGTATTTGGCAAGAAGTACCACTGCCAAATGTGAGCCATTCCAGTATATGCGGTTCAGCCACAACTGTTCTGCCTCCATGTGTAATGTACAAGGTTGCGATACATTGTGGCAGGCTTTCAGTAGATAACAGATTTTGATGGCGCAACATATCACCACCTGTCAAATCCACAGTGGATCACTTTTCAAAGGGGTGGCAATGACGGTCGCACATGTAAATGAGCCCTAAGTGGGTAAGACGTGCAGTAGAGGAGTGCAGGCGGTATTGCCGCTTTATAAATATTCCTCTTTGTGCTTTTGTGTGTCGGATGGAAGGCTGACAGCCTGTTTAGCGGCAAGTACAGGAACGTGCCAATGTGAACAGACGGGTGCAAAGTCTCCCGAAGACATTTCCCATCCCACGCCAGCCCTTACCGAGCACACCAGCCAGCAATCCTATCAGGCTTAATTAGGAGTTGGAATACACAGCAATTAAGAAAATCCTTCTGCACGGCCAAGATGGTGGGGAAGACTAATTAACTGCCATCCAGAATGTAAGCAAGTACATAGAGCCTGGCTTTCCATAGAGAGAGAAATAATAACTAGTGCGTGGGATACTTTCTGCTTTGCCCATGTTTTCTCCAGGGGCACATCATAGTTCCTATAGGTTGTTCAGGTACATGCAGACTACTTTCATCCATTCCCCGCTCCGGTCAAAATGGAAAACCAAAACTGAATTCCAGGCAGATTAAAAAAAACTATTCTTATGATCACATGTACAACAGACTGGGAGAGGGAGGGCAGGGCTAGGTCCAATTCAGGTGTCCTACATGCAAATATGGTGAACAGGAACATGCTTGCAGGAGTAGAGAACAGAGAGATGACCTCAGCATTCTGCTGTTGCTCCTTTAGTGTCCAATCCCAGACTGAGGGCTGTGCTGCTTAACTGCAGTAGTACATCTTGGAACTGAATGGAGAGAAATACAAATGGTTTTTAGCAGGTAAAAACTGTGTTTTTAGCTGTTTGCCTGGAGCTCAGCTTGAAAAATTGTCATGGTGAATAATGCCTGTAATGTGTCTATTATGTTTTTTTCCTATGATCGTCAACTCCATCTAGTGGCCATAAAGTGGTATTTTCCTGCAATACCTCAATTAGAAAAATACTACATTATGGCCACTAGATGGATTTGATGATCACATAAATAAACATATTATACACATTACAGGGATTACTCCTGGTGGCTGTGCGAATTCTGCGATATTCACACTGCATTTTTTTAAATAAATAAACCCCTGTAAGCCTTGTTGCTCATACATTTGTATGATTGATCCATCTAAAACGTTGCTTTGTAATTCTCATTCAGATGTAGTGCAGTAGGCTGCCCTATGAGCTCTGAGGAAGGGGGCTTGTCTCCCAAAACGCGTCAGCCTGTCCTGATTAAGGACACTTTATTGCATTGACTGTTATTGCGGACCACTCATTCTGTTTTTAATTTCTATTGGTTTGTGAGTATATATCCATTTTTCTACACAATAAATACATGGTGTACCACGGTAATGCATGATGAGAGTGCGCCCTTGTCTGCTTTTGTTCACTAGTGTCCAGATTTTCCGATCTTTGAAGGGCAGCACCTCTTCGTTTGGCATTCTGAAATTTCTTTTGGTCTGCATGAGGATTTGAGCGCTGGTTTCGTTTGTTTGTCGTTGGATTGCATCTGTCCCATTATGAACCTTTGCTTGGAACACATATGTACAGTGGGGATCGAAAGTTTGGGCACCCCAGCTAAAAATTTGTATTAATGTGCATAAAGAAGCCAAGGAAAGATGGAAAAATCTCCAAAAGGCATCAAATTACAGATTATACATTCTTATAATATGTCAACAAAAGTTAGATTTTATTTCCATCATTTACACTTTCAAAATAACAGAAAACAAAAAAATGGCATCTGCAAAAGTTTGGGCACCCTGCAGAATTTATAGCATGCACTGCCCCCTTTGCCAAGCTGAGACCTGCCAGTGTCATGGATTGTTCTCAATCATCGTCTGGGAAGACCAGGTGATGTCATTCTCAAAGGTTTTAAATGCCCAGACTCATGTGACCTTGCCCCAACAATCAGCACCATGGGTTCTTCTAAGCAGTTGTCTAGAAAACTGAAACTGAAAATAGTTGACGCTCACAAAGCTCACAAAGCTGGAGAAGGCTATAAGAAGATAGCAAAGCGTTTTCAGATGTCAATATCCTCTGTTTGGAATGTAATTAAGAAATGGCAGTCATCAGGAACAGTGGAAGTTAAAGCAAGATCTGGAAGACCAAGAAAAATATCAGACAGAACAGCTCGCAGGATTGTGAGAAAAACAATTCAAAACCCACGTTTGACTGCACGATCCCTCCAGAAAGATCTGGCAGACACTGGAGTTGCAGTACACTATTCCACTATAAAGAGATACTTGTACAAATATGGTCTTCATGGAAGAGTCATCAGAAGAAAACCTCTTCTCCTCACCACAAAAATCATCGTTTGAACTTTGCAAATGAACATATAGACAAGCCTGATGCATTTTGGAAACAAGTTCTGTGGACCGATGAGGTTAAAATTGAACTTTTTGACTGGAATGAGCAAAGGTACGTTTGGAGAAGAAGGGGCGCAGAATTTAATGAAAAGAACCTCTGTCCAACTGTTAAGCATGGGGTTGGATCAATCATGCTTTGGGGTTGTGTTGCAGCCAGTGGCATAGGGAACATCTCACGAGTAGAAGGAAAAATGGATTCAATAAAATTTCAGCAAATTTTGGATGGTAACTTGATGCCATCTGTGAAAAAGCTGAAGTTAAAGAGAGGATGGCTTCTACAAATGGATAATGATCCTAAACACACCTCGAAATCCACGGGGATTACATCAAGAGGCGTAAACTGAAGGTTTTGCCATGGCCTTCACAATCTCCTGACCTCAACATAATTGAAAATCTATGGATAGACCTTAAATAGCAGTGCGTGACAGACAGCCCAGAAATCTCAAAGAACTGGAAGACTTTTATAAGGAAGAATGGGCAAAGATACCTCAAACAAGAATTGAAAGACTCTTGGCTGGCTACAAAAAGCGTTTACAAGCTGTGATACTTGCCAAAGGGGGCAGTACAAGATATTAACTCTGCAGGGTGCCCAAACTTTTACATGTTTTTGTTTTCTGTTATTTTGAAAGTGTAAATGATGGAAATAAAATCTAACTTTTGTTGACATATTATAAGAATGTCTAATCTGTAATTTGATGCCTTTTGGAGATTTTTCCATCTTTCCTTGGCTTCTTTATGCACATTAATACAACTTTTTAGCTGGGGTGCCCAAACTTTCAATCCCCACTGTATAACTTACCACAGTTCAGGGCATGCTGCACCATCAAAAGGCAGTAGGTACCCTTGTTTCTAAGAAGAGGCCTCCAACACACCTCAAAATCCCGCAGCACTGCCTGAGGTCTCAGTGACCATTGGCAAGCCTTTGCCATGCTGGACGCAGGGAGGAGGCACCTGTGCTTCAATTTTGATCTTATCATTGTTTCATTACCTAGTTGGAATACGCATGAATTCAATGGCTGCATGCTTGTTTCACACAAGCAAGAGGTATTAGATAGATAGATAGATAGATAGATAGATGTTACTTACTCATGCAGTCTCCACCATACCAGCCGACACGGCAGTCTGAGCAGTATTTCCCCTTTACGTAGAAGTCGTCCAGGGTTCCCCCCCATGATCCATTGTGACAGGACTTGCAATTATCGAATATGGAGCATCCTAGAACAGGAATGTGAGAGGGATCAGAGACTTCAAGTAACACCTTCATGAGACTTTATGGCCTACTCAGGAAGTCTTTGAAGGTTCTCATGTATCCAGGTCATGGCATATCTAGTAGTAGTCACATTCAACTAGACTTGTTCTGTAAGGTTTAAGACGTTTCGTAACCTCTCCAAGCCACGTCTTCAGTTCTACTCAGTATTAGACACTACTAAGGACAATTATATTTAAGTATTTTTAACACCATACTGGTTCAGCATGCAAAATGGCCATTTCCACCAGACAAACCCTTTGTTCTGTGAGATCCATTCTGAACCTGTATATATCCAACTGGGCTATACAGACCATGAAGCAATGCAAAGTAGGCCATGCTCTATGTTTGACAGGTCTGACTCTCCCAGCTCAAACTTCACTTCCATTGAGATAAAACAACCCCAAGTACCCCTAGCACTGTATGGGCTCTTAAGTCAATGGCAGCCATTGTGAGGGAGAATTTGTATAGAGTCAAATAGGCATATTCCACGTGGTGGTAAACAGTAGGGTTGGCTGTACTCCATGTTTTCCAGTTTTGACTCTGGAGACTCATGCTACTGAACACTATCTTTACTGATACAAATTAAACCAACATAGCTTTGACACCATACCAGTTCAGCACACAAAATGGCTGTTCTACTGTAGGGGCTCTTTATTCAGCTGCAGCCATTGTGAGGGTTATGGCCAATATGGCCAACTGGGCCTATTTAACAAGGAGGTCAACAATAGTGTGGGCTTTGCTTCATGTTTTTCAACTTTTGACTCTGGAGAACCCTTCATCTGCCAAGCTTTGGCTCTAATGAGGTATATTAAACTAACATAACCTTGACACCTTACTGATTTAGCACACAAAGTGGCTGCTCCACTGTACGGGCACTTCACTCAGTCACAGCCATTGTGAGGGTTAAACCTGTATGTAGGGATTCCACAATGCGAAAAACAGAAAGAGTAGGCTGTGCTCCATGTTTTCCTGTTATAACTTTGGAGATCCTTTAGCTGCTGGGCTCTAGCTACATTGAGGCAAATTAAACCAACGTAACCTTGACACCATAGCGGTTCAGCACACACAATGGCTGTTCTGCTACACATTTCTGACCACTATTTTGAATGCCAAACTTGTAAATTGTTACCTAGGCCTAGTCCACATGGTGGAAAATAGACCTAGTTGGCTGTGCCCCATGATAGCCAGCTTTGGTTATAAAGTCCCTTCAGCAGTTGAGCTTCAGCTTGCTCCAGAACCCAAACAGATCCCAAAACCAAGGTGGTTCTGGAAGCCCAGGTCTGACCCATGTAAGAGAGGTTTAATAGTTGGCTAGTTTTAGTGCCAGACAACAAGGCCCTACCCTCGCTCTAGCCGTGCTAGAACACAATCCCTCCTGTTAAGGCTGACCCCTCTGACAATTTGTGCCCTGCTCCTCACCATAGGCCTCCTCACAGCACACACAGGAACCCTCCAGGGAAGCAGCCTCATACAGGGATCTCCAACCTGACCTAAAAGGTCTTTTGAAATCCATCCTAGCCCCCACCTCCTTAAGGGACAGAATGTCTGCAGCTGGCTCATCCTGCATACATTTCCATTTCACCCAGCTTCCTGCTCTGTCCAGAGCCCACTTGTGTAGGTTACATTATCACAGATGTGGGGTATATGTCTCACATGTCTAAAATTGGAGTGTATGCTCCTCCCTACCTGCCTTATATATGAGTACAAACTCACCCCTGACATCACTTGTGGAAGGGCTCCACCTAAAAGGGGTCTGTAATGCCTATGAAATGTGTTGGCCTTGGACCCTTTTTTCTGGGGTAATTTTTACAATAAAGCATTGCCCAGAGGCCAGGGGCATGATAGGTAACTGATGTAATTTCTCTAAGCCAAAGTCACAAGATATTCTGCTGAGAGCAAGATAAAAACTTGTTTATGGAATGTGTTTATGACATCTAGTAACCTCACATTAGGAGATAAAACCCTGTTTAAAGACGTCTACTTGCTTGAGAAGTTAGAAATCCTTAAGTTTGGGGTAGATGAGAAGAGTTTAGGGTAGATAAGAAGCAAAAATGTGACTTTTCAGATAACGATTTGGGATCAATGTAGTGGTTCAGCGTGACTCGGTTATCCTCGAGGAACCTTTTGCTAGCTCCTCCTGTGGTGGGTGTGACGCCCACCCACTATTGGACAGCTTCCAGAAAAATGGTTTAAAAGCCAGAGGTCCAAGCAAGATCAATTCAATGGAAGCCATTCCTTGCGTGAGGGGACGCTCTGACTCTGGGATTTTTTGCCAAGGCTTTATGGGCTCATTGATTGGTCACGCCTACGGCTTTCCCGTGACCCCCTGGGCAGTTTGGTTCCGATGGGATTTGTTCCTTCCAGCTTCTAACATAGCTTAAGTAATGTATTAATTCTATGCAGTGACGCTGTCAAATGATGTGTCCATTTCATGCTGTAATGCTCATATTATTATTGGTGTGTGGTATTATGCAGAGTTGTAATGACTATAAGATATATCCTCCTGTGTGTCATGTGATAATAAAAGTGGAGGTTTTGACAGTGCAAGAATATTGCAGTTGGATTCTGTTATTTCTTGGAGTGCCGGGTGAATGCTATGATGTGCCAGGGCAGGTGTTCATTTGGTAGATGGTCTTTCACATGCGTAGAATATGTAATGGTTTAAATGCTGATTAAAAGGTACCTGCGTGACTACATGTTTTATTTATTTCAGGTACTTGCATAGTGCCATCAATTTACGCAGCACTTTACATATATATCATACATTTCACATCAGTCCCTAACCCTCAAGGGGCGTACAATCTAAGGTCCCTAACTCACATTCATACATACACACACTAGGGCCAATTTAGACAGGATCCAATTCACCTACCAGCATGTCTTTGGCGTGTGGGAGGAAACTGGAGTACCCGGAGGAAACCCACGCAGGCACAGGGAGAACATGCAAACTCCAGGCAGGTGGTGCCGTGGTTGGGATTTGAACCGACGACCCTAGTACTGCCAGGCGGAAGTGCTAGCCATTTAGCCACTGTGCATGTTTATGACTTGCTTTTAGTTGTTGCACCCAGCATTTGCTGTTACAGGGTCTAACACCTAGTGTCACTACATGCTGTACCGGACACTATTCTGATAAAGAGCCACCTAGTGGCTAACTGCACCTGCGAACACCCCAGACCTTATTAGCTTTTAAATCTGAAGTAGCATTGAGAGAAGCAGAGGGCGAGTATTAGCCTCAAGTTCTGTAGCTCAGTTCCATTCTGATGCCAGCTCACTCCAGATCCAGCAATTCAGCTCCTAAAATAAGGATCGTGTTTTCAGCTCCATTTCCAGACCATGGACCCAAAGACAGAGCCAAGCCAACCTAATTGCAAAGGGTAAGGGAAGGGCTCTGATTGGGTTATTGCCATCTGCACATTATAGCTGCCTAAGTAGACATGTTTTTTTCACCTGTTGATTTTATGCTTTGAGCCATCTCTATGATTTTGATGGAGTACCTGGGTGTATAAGGCAGGAGTCACACTCATTCTCCTCGTTGCGGCAGCAGGGGATGGTATAGCCCACCTTCCTATTGCCTCCGGGACACGTACACTCCACCTGGTCATATTCACAGCAGTCCCGGCACATAATATTCCACTCTGCCCCAGGGCAGTTCTCATTGATGACCGTGTACTCTGGAAAACACAAGAGACATTATAAGAGGCATTATACAACAGCATTTCTGGGGATTTTATTCTGGATTTGTATAATTCAATGCAGATTACACTACAGGTGCACCTCGGTTTACGAACGCCTCAGTTAACATCATTTTTGGTTTACGAATGAAAGTCCATTGCATATAATGCCTCGGTTTTCTCGGGGGCAATTTTTTTACAATTTATTTTCACAATATGAAGTATATTTCGGTGCCGATTTTCAAATGCATTTGACAGCTTTTTTTTTCTTCACTATAGCTCACAGAATTAGCTGTCACTTTCCCCGGAGCTAAAGAAAATTTAGTTTCTTTTAAGAAACTAAAGGAAACATTGTTTCTTTTAACTCGGGAAATAAACTAAAAGGAAACTTTCTTTCTTTTAGCTGGGGGGAAAGTGACAGCTGATTCTGTGAGCTATAGTGAAGAAAAAAGAAGCCGGTAATTACATTTAAAAACCGCATGGACCTATAGTGACAGTGACTTTTTAAAAACTTTTTTCTGACCTAATTGATTTTCAATGCATTTCTATGGAAACCGTGTTTTGGTTTATGAATTTTTCGCAGTACGAAACGTCCCGGAAAACACAGGTACACCTATATTTCTATATTTTTGTACTTTGTCCTTTATGGCAAAACCCAATGCCAAATATTAAAGCATTTGAAGCTGAATTCCGAGCAAACAGCTACATACACATATGAAACACATATATGGGAGCTGTTTTACCTTCCAAAGGGTCTGTATTTCTGTACATCCAGCCCTGATATTACTAGATAGACAAAAATACAAATCATTTGAATATATAAAGCCATCCACAACACTGCCCCAATTTACATAACCGTTCTTATCTCTAAATATCACCCAAACTGTACACTCCGCTCCTCGCAAGACCTCTTACTCTCTAGCTCCCTTATCTCCTCTTCCCATGCTCGTCTCCAAGACTTATCCAGGGTGTCACCCATCCTCTGGAACTCCCTACCCCAATCTATCAGACTATCACCTACTCTACTTGCCTTTAGGCGATCACTGAAAACCTTTCTCTTCAGAGAAGCCTATCCCGCCCTCTGCTAATTCTTGAATCCGCTGCTCTTCCAACCACTCCATCCCCCACAGTGACTACCTACTGTACCGTTCACCCCTCCCTCCTAGATTGTAAGCTCCAAGGAGCAGGGCCCTCAAATCCCTCTTGTATTGAACTGTATTGTTACTGTATTGTCTCCCACTATAATGTAAAGCGCTGAGCAAACCGTTGGCGCTATATAAATCCTGTATAATAATAATTTGAATATATACACATAGCACAGCCAAGGATGACACCACTTACAGTTAGCCCTGTTCACACCAATGCGATTTGACAGTTCAAAATGGCAGGACAAGTCGCACCAGCTGAAGTAGCGGTGTGAACCAGGGTTTAACGCCTTGGCACCGGCCACACACATATTTCGACCTCTTAGTGGGTGGGCCTTAACGCCAAGAGGCCGTATATATGCGTACCTAAAGATAAATAGACCAATGCGACGCGCTTCTGGCACGGTTGCCGGTGGCTAGCGGAAAGCTCTCGATCTCTACTTGCGATCTGGAGCTTTCTGATCATGTGACCGCTGTGACAATCATGGTGGTCACATGATCAGAAACCCTGCCCCGCCTCCCGGCATCCAAAAATCTTTAAAGGGCTGGGAGGCACTGGTGCCAAGGGGTTAGAAAATACTGTCTGCTGATTGGACAGTGAAAGAACAGCAGGATGCTGATGAAATCATCCCTCTGCTCGCTTTGTGCACTCCTACCAGCCTGGTCCTTATCAACATAATAGGTGGTAATCTTGCCATGAAGGTCATTTTTCTGGCACTTCTTATAGGGTGACCATGCTCCTTCCTTACCTTCCAATTCTTCTGCTGCCTCTTGCAACCACTTCCTGTCTACATACCTCAATCAATGGCTGCATGGAATTTTTCAGGGTCGGTTTTCCAAACAGGGATAATGGTGGACCATGTCTGTAAAATGTGTGTTGAAGCTGCCCATTGGAAGCCCCTGTGCTGGGGTGACAAAGCAGGAGCACAAGTGGGGGACAGGAACAGAGCGTTGTCAAGGACCTGAACAAGGACTGTCATGGCAGGATTGAAAATGACTTTTGAAATTATATTGAAAGCAGAACTCCAGAATAGACCTTTAAAAAATATACTAGCACTAGATTTTGCTGCAATATATACCTTCAGCTCAGAGATTTCTCCCTGCAATACTTTTTTCTACCACTAGATATCTCCTGTCCGATGGCCAGTAACATTCCACCCACTTCCTCTGAGCCCAAGTCATTATGGACCCACCCCAACCTGTGACTGGGCAGTAAAAGGAGGAGCAGCATAGTGATGAGCCAATCCCTTTGTCACTCTGCTTTCTCCTCCAATCAGCATGCTTTTCTTAGCATATGAACTGATTGCCTGCTTGTAAGAGGTGCTTTGTGATTAGCTGGATGATGGTGCCAAAAGTACAAGTCCCTGCCCTGCTCCTCTCTTGCTAGAGCACTGTACCTCTTGTGCTGTTTCTCCCTCTAATACTCCAGCCCTTCTGTACAGGAACTGCAAGAAGCTGATACCAGGTCAAATTCTGGTACTTACTCTTCTTGCAGGGGCGTACTTACTGGGGTAAGCAGGTCGCAGTTGCGACCTGGTCCCATGCTCCAAGGGGCCCCTGCGGCCCCCCTGTACACCTGGATAGGAGGAGCAGTGGGGGCTGCAGGGGAGGAGAGGGACGAGGAGAGAGTGTGTGGGGGGGGGGGGGGGCATATGGCAAGGGGGATAAAGAGCAAGGGGGAGGCTAAGAGGGGGAGGGGGGTTTGAGCACAGGAGGTAGCAAAGAAAAACTGGATAGGAGGAGCAGCGGGAGCGGATGCATATAGAGGAACTGACCTCTCCATGTTCCTCCTGCAGCTGCTGTATTCCTGCAGGAGGGAAAGGAGAAGTCAGCATTCAGCGGCTGCACGAGGAACATGAAGAGGCCAGTTCTCTATATGCATCCGCTCCTGCTGCTCCTCCTATCCAGTTTTTCTTCGCTACCCCCTGTGCTCAATTCCCCCCCCCCCCACTCTTAGCCTCCCCCTTGCTCTTTATCCCCCTTGCCGTCTGCCCCCCCCCCCCCACTCTCCCCTCATCCCTTTCATCCCCTGCAGCTCTGTCAGGTCCCCCCCCTTCCTCTCCCACCAGCTGCTGTGGGGGATCTGCCAGGATGGAGAGCGGGGAAGGGGCTGCTAAATGTGTCATTTACCGGCTCATTCCTTTTCTGAATGGAGAGTCAGTGATTCGTACCAATCACTGACTCTGTCCATTCATAACCGAAACATAGTAAACTGGGTTTATTTTGCTTCAGTTTGTGAATGGACAGGAACCTCTGTACAGAGCTATTCCTATCCAATCATTCAGTGCAGCTGAGGCTGTGTCCTCAATCTCCTTTATCTGTCTCAAAGGTGAGATGTGAGCGGTCTGTTTAGACCCCTGATATCTCACCAAAGCCCCCCAACAGGGCTCCAAAAAAAATAGTAAATAATTTTAAAAAAATTTTTTAAATGGTTTAAAAAATAATAATAAAAAGTAAAAGAAAAAGAAAAAAAACTATGGACACCAGTGGACAGAAACTACTGGGGTCACAAAGGTCGCAATTGCGACCAGGTCCTGGCATTCCGCCACCAGGCTCGAAGGGAAGGGCCCTAGCCAAGGGTCAGGGAGGGGGCCCTTAATGGCTTTTTGCACTGGAGCCCTGAAGGTTCTAGTTACACCACTGACTTATTGTATTTAAAAAATACCTTTAATGATGTAATAATGACTACAGGGTTGCAATAATTGAAGTCTTTCATTGGCCTGGAGTTCAGCTTGAACAGGTTTAAGTTTAGATGGGATTTTAGTGATTGGGATTACATCTGCTTTATGTAGCAGCAATGACACCCCTGTATCTGTCTCCCTCTGCTATATTGGATGGTCTGTACCCCCCCCCCCCCCCCCCCCCATGTCAGCATTCAGCAGAGGCGGCACTCACAGATTCCCTGTAATGTGAACAGCGGAAAGTTTCTGCTCAGTGATGACATTCCCATAACTTGGCAGTGTCAGAATTCCCCCCCAGTGCTGACCCCTGTTCTCCTGTAAACCTTGATGCTGTTTTGACTGCGATGGACGAGCTGCGGGCAGGACGAACATAACTGAAATATTACCGCTGCTTCGCTCATTCATCAGATCTGTCCAGCTGGGAACACGCAGTTAGACAAACACACTTCAAACAACAAGTAAAAGGAACTAATGGCCTCCTAAGCTGTCCAGAGAACAGCACAGTGGCCTAGTGGTTAGCAATTCTGTCTTGCAGCACTGGGGACCTTGGTTTGAATGCCAGCCAGGATACCATCTGCATGGAGTTTGCATGTTCCCCTTGTAATTATGTGGGTTTCCCCTAAGCCTTCATGCACACGGGACATTTTGATAACGCTGGTAACGTTAACTGTGTAAAGTCACGTTAAAAACGTGACGTTTTCAGCTTTTTAAAGCGTTTTTGCATTAGCGTTTAGCTGCATTTCCCGCATTTTGCTGCCTTTGTATTTTTGTGTTTTTTTTTTTTACCAAGAAAAAAAATTTTTTTTTGGTCAAAAAACGCAATTTTGCTGCATATTTTAGCGTTTAAGCGTTTTTACAGCTAAAAAACTCCTCTAGAAACCCACTAGTCCTGGGTTTTTTTTCCAGCCAAAAAACTCTGATTCCAGTCTTTGTGTGCATGGACACATAGGATAACACGCCGGGGAAGGACACATAGGATAACATGCCGGGGATGGACACAGGATAACACGTCGGGGATGGACACATAGGATAACATGCCGGGGATGGACACATAGGATAACACGCCGGGGATGGACACATAGGATAACATGCCGGGGATGGACACATAGGATAACATGCCGGGGATGGACACGTAGGATAACATGCCGGGGATGGACACATAGGATAACATGCC